AAGGACCGCTTGTTCATCTCAGCCGCCTCCTTCTCGAACCTCTCGATCACACGCTTGTCAATGCCACCCAACTTATAGATGAGATGGCCCGTGGTCGTCGACTTGCCGGAGTCGACATGGCCGATGACCACGATGTTGATATGTGACTTCTCCTTTCCCATGGTTGCCTACCGCACGTGCGCCGGACGACAAACAGAGATAGGGTATGGCGGCCGCAACCAACCAAGTCAGGAGGAAGAAGCGCGACAACCGCAGCGCAGCGCACACCGCACCGCACAGACAACAAACGGCGCACGCCGCCGACCGATGAAGCAGTCTCACGTTGAGATCTGCTTGCTCTCGATGAGGACGAAGCTTGCCGCCGTCCTGGCAATAAGCTCTCCACACGGCGACCTTACGCGGTGTTCCGATTTTCGCAACTCTAATTTTCTGTGGGACTGTGAAAAATCTGCGAAATACCCCTAAAAGATGTGGGTACCCCCGGAGTGCCTTTTTGCAGAAAAACTTGTCAAATAACACTTTTACTTTTGGCTCACATGTTCACAAGTGTTCCCTCTACCCCTCTCCCAGCCGTACATCTTTTCTTCCCGGTTTGCCCCCCTTCTGTGTCGCTGCTTTGCAAAACTATCCCGCCCATTCCCGCCGGAATGTGGTTGAATGGGAGATTCGAATTCGAACTTCGTCCGTGTTCGAAATCGCGCTGCTCCTGCTCAATTTGGCTCGGATAAGCGGCCTAGCTCAGGGCACGCTCAGGGCACGCTCAGGGCACGCTCTCAGGGCATACTCACACACGGGGACCTATATTCCCAAAATCCCAAAAAAAAGGGGAAAATGACGGTCACACGGATCTACCAAAGTCGCAAATGTACTATTCTTGTGCCCAGTCGAAAATCGGCAAAAATTCCTTCACAAAAGTTCTTGCACAGTTAGTGGATGGCGCCGTGCGACCAGCCAAGTACCAGATCCCCGTTTCTCCAAACGGCCGCGACCTTGTCCCATCTGAAAAGGTACAGCGGTGTGACGTGAACCATGCCCAAAACCTCAAATATGCCCTCACTGCGGTAACAATATGCGGATTTGGGGTAGCCATATGAGTATGCCCTGAGTATGCGCTCACTGCGGTACCAAATCCACATACATAAATAATCCCCGAGTCCCTAAAAAATAGTGTGGAGGGAGAGGTTACCGCAAATTCCCACGCGGCCCCTCAGTCCGCTGACGAATGGCCTGGAGGTATTACCATCGGACTAACCAGCCCAGGTAAACTCAATATTGTGTCTAATCTGACATAGGGTGGCCTTTTCAGCCCAAGGTGGCCTTGATTGCCTTCAGGGAACCCCCAATAGGGGACACCGGCCACGGGACAGCCGATAGCCGAGGGACCGAGCATCATCTGAGTGGCCAGTCGCTGTGCCTCCCCGATTACCCCTCCCCCTATGAACATCAGCAGACACTGCTTTTTAATGCCAATTGAGGGGACCAATGGGCTATCTCTAGCTGGCGGGCGCCAAGCATGCCCAGGAAGGTACATAAGGTCAATGGGGATTGAACCCAAGACCTCCTGAATGCCACTTGCGTGCCTTACCAACTGAGCTGAGCCTATCCCTCGACACCATTTTTTCGGGACTTCGGGGATTTCCCAGCCAGGATGGCTGCGTATACATGGATGTGTTTTGTCGTGTAGTGCGGGGTTTCCATATGGGGATTGGCGTCGGGCGCGTCAGTGGGGATATATGGTATCGTTATGCATAGAAATAACGTTGTGGTCGCCAACCAGAGACCGACCAATCACTTCGTGAGGCAACGGGGCGGCGGTTGTGGGAGAGAGTCCCGTGGTCGTGCGGTGAAGAGCAGGGAGCTGGAGGTCGTTGGTGGGTTTCTGGTATAGGAAAGTTTTGTCTTTATTATCTAACTGTCCATTCACTACGGAGAGTCGTGGGTAGTACGCCTAATGTGCAAAACGAGATTGTAACACGCTGTGTCGAGCGCATCGGTCCGGCACCGCACAAGGCAGCGCGGGCCCCTCCGGGCCACGTCACGCAGGAGTTGGTCTAAATCCTCGTCAGGAATACATATGGAGTTTCCGCAAGCTGCTCTGGCCGAGTGAGCCAGCCATACTTCTCGCGAGCCCCTACGACAGGATAGGGCCTACGTGAGGCACGACTTTCCTCCACCTTACGAGAGCTATCACCTCCCTTCGATGGGCGTATCCCCGCTGAGCTATCAGTCCACAACACGAAAGCTAATCAGCTGCAATCGCAGAGGTGGACCAGCCGAGGTCGTTTCTCGTTCGTTGTAGCTTAGAGGGTACGCGCGGTAATACGCCTCTATCGGACCCATGCGTGAACCGACATCTTCGGGGGCTGAGGTCCCAAGCGCGACTCGTCACCGGTCGACTAGGACGCATCCCACGCACCACGCATACACCACTCTAAAGAGCGTAAAAATAAAAAACATGTTGTCGGAGCAAACACCCTTACAAGGGTATTTGCTCATGATTTTACATTCGATGCAGGATCGACGCCGGTTACCATATTGGGGACGGTATGGGGTAAAAAGTAAATTTTTTTTGGCTTGGTGTTGTGAAGCAAACTTCTCGACCATTGAGACCAAGATTTCTAGGCAATCATACTCAGTGATACGGCGCATACAACAACAGGTAAGGGTTAGTAAAAATTGAAAGTCTTCGGTCGCGAGGGCTGGAGGGTTGGAAGAGAACGATAGAGGATCGCACGGGATGCGACGACCACGATCTAAATCAGTCAAAGGCTCAGGCGGTAAGGCAAAAATGAATTCCAATGAGTCCAGGGGCGTCGGACCGACCGATATGGAAAAGTCGGCAGGTTGCGCCTTCGTAAAATCAAAAGACGACTGAAAAATTAATGCAACCCCGGCCATGCGGCCGGGGCAGCCAAGAGAAACACACTGCCTATCATGATAGGTAACGACAGTCAGTATCTATGTCCTTACTCATATGTCGTGAGTGGAGTTGAGGCTCCAGCTCCGCCTCCCATATGGGGAGAGGAAGTCGCCTCTTGAGGGGCGACTTCGTGTTCACGCGATCACCCAAGCAACCGGTGCCTTCGTCCCTTTGAGAGAGACACCGTTGCAAGTCCTAATATCGTCCGCACAGTGCCTGAACTCAGGCTACTTGAATTAGTACCCGCCTACCTACCGGTATTGGGTCTCTAAAACTGTTAACCTTTGTCTTTTTTTGCTCGGCCTCGAGTACCGGGCACATCTGCCCGTACTTAATGTGGTACCGACCTACCTGCTACTGAAGTTTTTTCGTTGATCTTAAGTGAGGCGGACCTTTTTCCCCACTACTCGAGTATTTTCCCTACCGCAACCCTCAATGTCACAACCGCAGGTAAGTACCGGTCTTTCAGGCCGTCCACTCAACCAAGTGTCTTTCCGGGTCACACACACGCGCAAGCCGACAAACACTCGAACAGATACTCAGACCAGCGAGCGTGCACACGCACAGACTTAGGAAAAACGGGCTCAGTCCGCTGGTCGGACTGAGCCCCGATACTGTTTATGTACTGAGCTGCTCCTCTTTTATTTGAAGTGGGAGCTAGCTCAGTAGGTTTAGGCACACGACTGTTAAGCATAGGGTATAAAAACAGAATCCCTCTGGCCTCCGGGTTAGATCCTTGTTGTTTTTGGTAAGGAGCAGAGGCCGAACCAACCACGATTTCACCCCGTCTCAGTGAGGCCGGGGCTCGAACCCGTGACCTCAGACTAGAAAGCAGTTACAGTTAGTTAGCCCTCTGAAAAATGAGGGCACTACACTTGGCAGATAAATGGTAGTTGGTAGTTAGATTTTTTCTTTTAATTTATTTTTATTTTTCTGTTATTATTTAGATTCGTTTTTTTTTTTTTTCTCTCTTATTGTTTTTTTTTTTTTTTTTTTTTAAATCCCGGGGCTACTATCTGATAACCTATGTAGAAAATCGGGATATCCGGCAGACCATTTTATCCGGAATTTTCAATCCGGATGAAAATTCCGGATTAATTCCTGATATGGAAAAATCCGGCCCTGCTCAAAACATTTTTTTTTACCGAAAAAAAAAAATAATTCAAAAAATTCTGAAAACAAAGTATGTGTTTCACATCAACGATAAGAACAATTTTTGGCTTGAGGCCATTGTTGATATCTCAACAGATAAAAAGATAAAAATAGAAAATAGAAAAAAATATATATATTTGGATAAAAAATTATAAAACGAATCAAGCATCCCCCCTCTAAACCCCGTCATTCCCTATCTTACCCCCTTTCAACCCTTCCATGACTTATCAAGCTTTTTATGAAATAGTAACATAGTTATATTTTATTTTGCATGCGCAATATTACTTTTTTTTTTCTTTTTTTTTTTTTGGCTATTTTTTTAATCATCCGGATTTTCAGATAATCCTCGCCCCCGATAATCTAGCAAGATAATCCGACCAGATTATCCGGCCAGGTATGCCGTGCTACATAGCTGATAACTCACTTTCAGTGAATCCGACCTTAATAAACGGCTAGATTCATGTTCACGAAAACAACCTAACTTCGAGCTCGCCGTCCGAAATACTGGTCCGCGTGCCTCGACTGAGCACTCGTCGAAGGAAGAACAACACGTACGTAGCAGCGCATGGACGAAGATCGCAGCAGAAAAGCGAGAGGGGGATGACAAGGAGAGCAAAAGAGCAAAGATCGTAGAAGCAAGAAAGATAGCGCGCGGTAAGGAAGACAGTGGTCGCGCAGAGGAAAAAGAGACGTGAGAAGAAGAAGAAGAAGGAGAAGAAGAAGGAGAAGAAGAAGAAGAAGAAGAAGAAGAAGAAGAAGAAGGAGGAGGAGGAGAAGGAGGAGAAGGAGAAGGAGGGGAAGAAAGTCGTGGGGGAGGGGTGGCGCATGCGAGTGTAATAGACAGGCAGGAGAGGAGCGCAACGAGGAGCGAGAGGTAGCAAAGAACGCGCGATAAGAAAAAGCGGCGCAGCGAGGTAGCGAACGCAAACGAGGAGGGAAGAAGGGCGCACGAAGGAGCAGAAGAGGAGCGCGGCCTGGAGGACAGGTATAAATCAAACGAATCTATCGGTAGAATATGAAAAAGTGCACTCCTAAACGTGTGCGTGTATGTTTGTATGTGCGTGCGTGAGTACGTGGCCATGCATGCGTGCATGAAAGTGTGTACGTGTGTATTAGGCCTATATATATATATATTATCAGACTACATATATACATATGTATAAATATATACATCGTCGGACAGAACTGCCCTGCGCTATGCAGGATGGGGCGCAGGGTAGTTCGTGGGTGCTAGTGGCATCTGTGAGTTGGGAACGAGGTTGTGAGTGTAGCGCGAGACATACCTGGTGTTGA